TAGAATTTAAAGGATGCAAGAGAGAACAGAAAAGGATAAAAGAGAAGAACAAAAAAATAAAGAGGAAGAGAATGAAAGAAGGATGAAAAAAGGGTGAGGGGGAAATGTATTCATCCCTCTGAACTGAAAGAGTGTTTTCCCAGCATAGGGAGAGCAACCACAGAGCAGCCACGACACACAGAGCGCAGTCAGAGAGAGAGAGAGAGGGGAGGGATGGAGTGAGAGAGTGAAAGAAAAACGAAATTAACACTGCAGCATAGTACAACGCTCTGTATTCACTTATGCAACGCCGTCCATAAAGCACTTTCCCATCAGAAAGGTTAGAATATCACAGTGTCGGCAGCATAGTGTGTGCATTGATATGGCCTGTTATAACTATATCAATGTGAAAGTCTTCCAGAATGGCAGTTTTTTTTAATCAGGGATTTTAGTGTAGCACAGTAATGCCATAGTAATAGTAATGCCATAATGCTGCCGACTTTAGCCAGAGCTAATTTGCTGCTATGAAATGAATAGTGCTGGTTCTAAAATCTGATTGGCTAAGCCACGTTCAAAGCCGCTGTAAACACATTGGTATGTGACCGCACACATCAGTTGATTCTGTGTTAATGCACCAAGTTATTAAAACCATTAAGCTGTTCATGGAAGAAACAAATGAAGTTAATCAGCCAAGACATGTTTGGTGTCTGAAGTTGTTTTTCACTAGATCCATTAGTTTTAGCTCCATTAGCATTGTAGCTCCAGCGCAAAACTAAAGAAGTCTTGGACGATCGGCTACATTGTAGCCATAAAATGCAGTTTTTCTGCCTGTTTTAGAGGAGATTAATTACTTGCATTTTTTTCTTCAGTAACATTGAACGTATTTTGTTGTAAATGTATATGATTCATAAAGGCAAAATGGACTAGATTTTCATCTTTGTAGGTGAGCAAGCAATCAACATTTGTAAAAGGGTTTTTTATGCTTTTTTTATTGTGCCAGTTGTACTAGCTTTATAGATCAAGAAAGCTGCAGTTCTGTTGTCTGTTTTACTTTGGCACAGCCATTTCTGTAGAGAGGTGTGAAGTATTTTTCATAGCAGGAGGTTCTCACTCCACCCCTTTCATTCCTTATTGCTCGCTAGCAGCTCAACACCGAGTCACAAGATTTCACACACAGACAGCCAACAGTACCCTAGTTAATCTGACGATAGAGTTATGGGGAAAATGTTTTATTTGAATTATATTGACAATATCCAAGTTGATTTCCATTCCAGTGGGAGTGGCCGCTGAGTGATCTGTAGAGAGAGGTTAAAGAATGACAATGCTTGGAATAATTGTTTACAGCACCCCCTGACTGCAGTAAAATGGCCATAACATATTGCCTCTCGTGGCTTATTGCTTTAACATCGCTAATAAAATGGCCAGTAACTGAGCACAGTTGTCACATATGAGTCAGTTTATAATGCTACTGAAACTGCTTATGTAAACTGTTTTGAGGGTTGATTACTTCAGTAGCTTTGGGCTGACGTTTTTGTATACTCAAAGTTTGAGCCAAATTAAACGGTGAATTATGTGTTTAAGCCAGTTAGCGTTGAGCTCATGGCTGTCTTAAACTCTTGGACGTCTCGACTGGTAATGTTTGTCTTTAGGCCCACCACTCCCTTATGCAGTATATTCCATAAATATCCTTCCTTCATGCAAAGACTTGAGTGCCGAAGTCCTTTTCACAGAGCAGTTTAAGCCTAGGGCCAAAATACAAACCAGTTTCATTGACACACTGATGTTATCTGTGTGTGTCCCCAGTGAACCCTCACAAGCTTTCATCCCCCTGTGGAAACAGGGTGGGGATAGAAAGAAAAAGCTACAAAAGGGAGAGGGAGAGAAAGGCAAAGAGGGAGAGAGAGCAGTTGTGAGGATTGGGGTCTGAAGGATTACTGAAGAATTCTTTATAATATCTCTGACTGTGTTTGTGGTCAGAATGGAGACAGAGGCTGTCTGAACCATAAACTGGAGTGTCCGCATATGCAGTCTAACTCACTCACACACATCCGTTTGCCTCCTAATGGAAATTCTGTTGCAGAGTGTTGCGTTTCAGCAGACTCTCATTAGGGCCATTTGCTAAGAACTGAGAAGGCGTCTTTTCTTGACCTTGATTTGACACAGAATTTCATGTTCAGTAGTTTAGCAGCCACCATTAACGTTAGCTAATGGTATACATTCATATGATGCAGTGATCTTAGGTGTTCACTGGAGTGCAGTGATGGAGATTCTAATGCCCTCAAAATCACTCTGGAATTCCATTTTATGATTCAGACAATAGCAAAAAAGTGCCAACCTACATTGACCACCTTTCATTTTTCAATTTCTATTCAAAATTCATTGGGATTACATGATCCATGTAATGCAAACACATTCAGTGGTGTTGAGGTCTGGGCTCTGGGGTGGTCAGTACATTGCTCTGAGAACACCACCAGCAGATTTTCTTCTTTTTTATTGTATTTCTTTTTTTCCGTAACAGCTTCTTGACAGAGGCTATAGAGCTGAGCTGTCCTCTCACAGTGAAAGGATGGACAGAATCACCTGTGGATTTGTTCAGATCTGAAGAAAAAGTGAAGCTTGACTTTCTTTCTCAAAGAAGAAACCTTTAAGCACTGCTTATTTGATAGTGGCAGTTTTGGTTGTCTACCAGGTCTTGCATGACTCTATTTTCTATGTATCTTTTAATCATACACAGAGTTTTGGAAACTCCTGTTTTTTTACTTTCTTTCCTTTGACTTTCCCTTCATTATGCAAGTGGATTATCCTATCTAATCTATCTAATCTAATCTCTTCAAAAATATCTCCTGAAAAATGAATAACTTGTACATAACAGCCATTTTGACTGGAAATTAAATAAATGAAAAGGTGCTCTCTGGCTCTCTGACACAGTACTGTAGATAACAGTGCCCTAAATGCCAAATCCCATCCGATCACAGTCTGGGTCTCTGAGGTTTTAGCCACATGCCCAGGTCCAGTGATAGCACAGTGTGTATTTAGGGTGTAGTGTTTCTTAGCAGGACTGCTGATATTAAACAGACCTCTTTTTGTTGACGTTTCTCTTCATTTTTTGAGAAACATTTGCTAAACTTGTTTTAGTTTGGTGAATAGAGCACAATGCTGAGAGGAACCATAATCAGGGGTTGAGATACAGTAGCTAGATTACAGGACTTCTTTAGTTTTGAAAAAACAGAAGCGTGTGTGTGTGTCCAGTAGGCCATTAGCCTGAGTGTGTATTTGAGTTAAGAGCTTTATTTAGCTTTCTCTCAGTGACGTCTTCAAGTCAGATCTCATTCACACACAAATAAAGGAAGTTTATGAGGATGTGGTACTTTGAAGCTTTGAGCTGTAGACTGACTGAAAGTACAACAAGACGAGTCAGAAGCTGTAATTACATTTTATGTGTTTTATTCTGTTCTTTATTTCTCCTTTCTCTTTTTCACTCTCTCTCTGTCTCTCGCAGTTGCACTGTCTCTCTCTGTCTGTATGTCTGTCTGTGTCTGTCTCTCTCTCTTTCTCTCTCATGCCCTCTTTGTCTCTCACCGTCTGTCTCTTTCTTCGTCCTTGTCTCTCTCTTTGTCTTCTTTCTCTGTCTTGCTTTCTTTCTCTGTCTTGTTTCTCACTCTTTTCTTTTTGTATCTCTCTCTTTCTCTCTCATTTCTCCCCTTCTTTCTTTCTTTCTTTCTTTCTTTCTTTCTCTCTCTCCCACTCTCTTTCCATCTCTTTCTCTCACTTTGCCTCTCTTTCTCTCTCATCGTCTTTCTTTCTTTCTTTCTTTCTTTCTTTCTTTCTCACTTTCTTTCTTTCTTTCTTTCTTTCTTTCTCACTTTCTTTCGTCTTTCTTTCGTCTCTCTCTCTCTCTCTCTCTCTCTGAATGTGTATTTTTATAAGGCTGTACTTGCTCACACCGGCTGTTTCAGGTACAAAGTCAGCTTGGCATCACTCTACGCAGACTTAATGCACCACCTACACAGCTTCAAGCTCAGTGAAGCCCACACACAAACGCCGGACAGACGGACACACACAGGCACACGGGTTCATTTAGGGTCATAAGAAGACACACATCCTCTTATTCCAGCTCATACACAGTTTTTCATGGAGAGACTTGTGCATAAACAGGCATTCATTGACCTGATGTACAGTGCTGTGCAAAAGTCTAAGGCATCTGAGGAAATTATATCACCACTGTCACACAAAAACCTGGTATCTCCATATTTTTTTTATAATGTGACCTCCAGTTACCCATGATTAGACCAATAGAAATGGCCCAGAATTACTTGAAAAAACTTGTTAATTTCCATCACATCATTTTCCTTCTCTGTGAAGTTACTATTTTTGGAGATATGAGGTGACATTTTGCACAGCTATTTATCTAGGCAGTGTTTATCCGTTCAAAAAACACCAACATTAGAATAAATACAAAACAATACATTGCGTGAATGAGTGCTTGACTTCAACTATTTCCAAATCTCTTCTTGATTAAATGTAGTAGTTACATTTTCTATCCAGCACCTGCTTCAGCTAATCGCTCCATTAAATTAAATGGGGTGCTGCTGATGGGATTTAATAAAGTACAGAGTGACTGCAGTGCAGCGACAAATCAGAAACCAAACCGGTGTTCTTCTAACCAACATGTCAATAACTTTTTTCAAAACAAAAAATCTTGTTACATCTTACTGTATTTATGTTTACAGGCAAAAACACACTTCCTGCCAAAATAAATATTTTAAACCATTTTCTTGGCTGCCTACGACTTTTACAGCCCTGTGTTTTTGGCAGTTCTGAGTAATATGTTTATTTCAGACTCTGTACCAACTTGAGGTGTTGATAAATCAGATGAGTGGGAGGAAGAAAGCCATCTGAGAAAAACTGCAACATGTGAGCTAATTATATTTGATGACTGTCATTATATGAGGTCACAACTAGATCTCTTCCTCTCTCTTGTCTGTCTGTCTCTCTCTTGTCTCTCTCTCTTCCTCTCTCAGGTATGGCTGCAGCAGTATGGTTATCTTCCTCCTGGCGATGTTCGAGCGCAGGCCATGCGTTCCCCAAAGTCTATCGTCTCTGCCATCTCAGCCATGCAAAAGTTCTATGGCCTCACCGTCACAGGAACTATGGACCCAGCCACGCTCAAGTGAGTCTCAAGCCAGCCAATCACAGAACAGGATACTGGTGGTTAATTAAGAGTGCAATCAATGGGGAAATGAACACCATTTCCACTAAGCAATATACTTCACTTTATTTGTTTATTTAATAGAGGCAGTGCAGACTAAACAACAACATCATTGTTTTATGATGTAAATATGCCAGATGTGGCCACCTGCTGTTCCTCAGCAGGCTGATGCTTAAACTCATGAACAACACTTTCACACACAGACAAAACAAAAACACCTCACAGTTTAGTACTAATTTATGTGGTAAAATGTTACGCTGGTACTTTAGATATAATCTTGTTATACATCAAATGTCACACATGTTTAATATATACCAATATATAAATATTGGTATGTATATTATTATACAGTATGTATCCATATGGAGTACTGTATAAAAGTCAGAGACCACTCTTCATTTATTTCCAGTAAAACAGCCATTGCAAGTTATTCATTTTTCATTGTCAGGAAAAAAAGCAGAAAGCACACACTCACCAAGCACCTTCTTAGGAACACCTCTTTGTATCCACACTTATTGTCTGTTTTATCACCAAAGAGCTTACCATTGAGGTGCACTTTCTAGTTCCACATTTACAGACTGTAGTCCATCTGTTTCTCTGCATACATTGTTAGCCCCTTTTACCCTGTTCTTCAGTGGTCAGGACCTCCCCAGGACCACCACAGAGCAGGTATTTTGGTAGTGAATCACTCTCAGCACTGCAGTGACACTGACCTGGTGGTGGTGTATTGTGCTGGTATGAGTGGATCAGACACAGCAGTGCTGCTGGAGTTTTTAAACACTCACTGTCCACTCTATTAGACATGCCCACCTTGTTGGTCCACCTTGTAGATGTAAAGTCAGAGACAGTAGCTCACCTGATGCTGCACAGTTTTTGTTGGTCATCCTCTAGTCCTTCTTCAGTGGTCACAGGACACTATTGGCTTGATATTTTTGGTTGCTGGGCTATTTTTAGACCAGCAGTGACACTGAGGTGTTTAAAAACTCCAGCAGCACTGCTGCGTGTGAGCCACTCATACCAGCACAACACACACTAACACACCACCGCCACATCAGTGTCACTGCAGCGCTGAGAATGATCCACCACCCAAAAAATAGCTGCTCTGTGGTGGTCTTCTGGGCGTCCTGGTTGAATTTTCTGCTTCCTAAGATCCAAGTAAACCCAAACACATTCAATAGTGCTGAAGTCTGTAAAACATTAAACCCTAGATCATCAAAAAAAAAAATGTGTCCAGGCCACTAATTGCTAAAAATGAATGGGATGTATAAATGTCTGTCTCTGTTGCCAGGGCGATGCAGCGGCCACGCTGTGGAGTTCCAGACAAGTTTGGCTCAGAGATGAAGAGCAACCTGAGGAGGAAACGCTACGTCATACAGGGGCTAAAGTGGGAAAACAGAGAGATAACCTTCAGGTGGGACCCTTCATTCAGACAACATTCATGTAACCTGTCTAATTAGTGGTAGGCCTGTTCACTAGAAAACATACACTGTATACAGTGTTCAGACACCACCAATGTACTATTGTTGGGGTGGATTTACAACAAAGTACAAAATGATATTCATTTTAAATAGATTTGTTACAAAGTCCATAAAAAACCCATCTACTTAAAAAAGATCATGGAAGGAGACACTACTGAAAGTGTACACCATTTAAATGTCTGTACCTAATTATGTATTTATTTATTTATTTTACAGGAATACAACATACAAAGACATGTTTTATGTGGCCCTACGTAACTGTATGGTTTACATTAAATAGCAAAAGCTCATTTATATTGATAGCAAAGTACATAAGGTTTATTTATAGAGCATGCTGAAAATCAACTTGAGCTACCCATGGTGCTATAGCATAAGTAAATAAAAAAATATAGAATTACATTTCTTGATAAAACATTAAAAGAACAAATAAACAGAACAGATAAATGAACAAACAAAACAATATGAATTTGTACTGATGCTCTGGTGTCCCTCTAATTTTCAGTATCCAGAACTACTCTCCTAAAGTGGGGGAGTATGCCACTCATGAGGCCATCCGGAAGGCCTTTAAGGTGTGGGAGTCGGTGACACCCCTGAAGTTCCGGGAAATTCCATACAATCAGATCAGAGACAGGCCCGAGAAGTTTGCCGACATCATGCTCTTCTTTGCTGAGGGTTTCCATGGCGACAGCACACCATTTGATGGGGAGGGCGGCTTCCTGGCCCACGCATACTTCCCTGGTCAGGGGATCGGAGGGGACACGCACTTTGATGCAGCAGAGCCATGGACGACTGGCAACGTCGACCAAGGAGGTAAAACATTAGATTTGCTCCAATACAAAGGTGTAACTTGAAGCTGAGGTTATAATACATGAGTTCTACCTCCATTGTTGCCGCAGTTAACAATCAGGCTGGGCTAACTGGTCACCAGAATGCAGATATTGGGATAGCTGGAAGCAATATTTAAACCAGAAAATTAAGAATTGTGTGACAATGTAAAATCAGAGAAAATATAAAACATGTTTGATGGATTCTGGATTGAGTAGTGTAGTAGTTTGTGCATGTCATTGTTGAGTGTGTGCAGGTATAGAAATTTCATCTACGACTATTATAGTTATTACATAGTCGCCTGATTATTTGTGAAGAGCACAGTTATATAAGCCGAGTGCCGCTATTTTCCAAAGTTTACAATCATATGGTTGTCTCATAACAAACAGAATGTATCATGACTGGAATCTGCATGTAATCTAGTTGTTTATGCAAGTCAACAGTTTAAATCTGAATTTATTCTGCCAATAGCTTATAAAAATGTCTTGGTCTTCATCACTTTTTCTCTCTATCCTCCATCTTTTCCCCTCTCAGGTAATGATGTGTTTCTGGTTGCGGTGCATGAGCTGGGTCATGCTCTGGGTCTGGAGCACTCGGGTGACCCCTCTGCCATCATGGCTCCATTCTACCAGTGGATGGACACCGAGAACTTTGTGCTGCCTGATGACGACAGGCGTGGAATTCAGCAGATTTATGGTTGGTCTGCTTTTCGTCTGGACTACCAATGTTGCTTTAATTTATAGCTGTGCTCAGTAAGAGTAAATATGGAAGCATTCTTTCTGCTTCTAGGCCAGCTCAGTTGTTGATAATAAAACCTCAACTTTTTCTACGTTGATACTTATGCTGAACTGGCCTGGATTTTTTGGAATGTCGTTTTAGAAACAGAAGATGCTACAACCAGATAACAAATGTCACTTAGTAACTCTTGTTTGATGTGTCTGCTGAATTCATAAGGAAAGTTGAATGTTGTGCATGGTAGCACTGACACAAGACTGCAACATCTCACAAATTTGATTACATAATATTTCACATATGTTTTATAAGTTCCATTTGAGCAGCAGGATGAAATGCAGGACATTTCTATACATGAAATGAATAGTTTCTCAACAAATTAACTAAAAAACTGTATAAACATTTAATAAACCGTAGAATAATAATGGCTTATCCTCCCGTAGGTGCAGGATCAGAAGAGCCCCACAAGCCCCCTGCCCCACGGCCCACACGCAGACCAGACAGGCCCACTTTTGGACCTGATATCTGTGAAGGCCACTTTGACACCATTGCTATCCTGCGTGGAGAGATGTTTGTCTTTAAGGTAAATAAAGATTCAGTGCTTTTACAGAGTCTACTACCCAGAACAGTGACTCATAATCTAAAATATGTCCATTCAGACATACCCAGAAAAGTGTGTCAATAAAACCAGTTGCTGCTCATCTCTGCTATTAGATCAGCCAGTGTCACTGTCATAATCATTGTCACTGACTGATCTACTAATAGCAGAGATGACATATTTAACTAGTTTCACTTATGCATGTTTCTGGGTATTTCCAAATAAAAGTTGTTTTGAAACCCTTAAATAGCCCAGATGAGACAGCAGCTTCACACTTCTATTACTCACTCCTATAACGTAAAAATAACTCATTCGGCTAGCATAGTTTTCCATGTAATTTCTGAGTAGTAAGCCTTAGGCTATAATAAGCCTGTGAATTTAGGTGGTTAAATACTTTCACATTGACTCAAATATACTCGTGAGGAAACAAATCGACTTTTTACTCAGCTGCAATTAGCCATTCACATTAGGATTCTAATTCTTTTATTCTTTTAGACCAAAAATGTCATAAAAAGAAATAAAATAAAAACAGAAAGCAGTGATTTGGAAGTCCACTTTACCCTGTTTTAAATTAAAACAGTATAAAGACAAGATATTTAATGTTGTACCTCCTTGTTTTTGTAAATATATGCACATTCTGAAATTGATGCCCCCAGCAGGTGGGGTCAGTTTAAGACTAGGGAAATTGTGAAGTGTTCAAAAATGACAGGTGATGCAATATGCTTGGGTATGAAAGAAGCATCCAAGAAAGGTGGAGTCCTTTATGAGCAAGAATGCCTTGAGCCTCACTGCTTTGCCAACACTGTAAAGCCTAGTAACCCTGTTGCCTTAAATTTCTGAGTTCATTGAACTTTAAATAATAAGTTAACAGAAAGTAAAAAAAACAGATTTTTGTTCTGTTAAATTACTTGTAAAAGTTCAATGAGTATTTCATCCTCTACAGTGCGCAATATCATTAACAAATTCAGGTAATCCAGAGAAACATACATGTACATAGAGAACAATGCAGAAAACCACACCTGACCTTCACTGCTTTCTGTTGTAATTAGCACTTCACATGCTTTTCCAGCTTTTCTGGGACTGATGTTTGTACTAAGAACATCCACTGCAGCTGTGTATTGAATAGAACTCAGTACAAGAAGACCTTTTGGTAGTTCTTTACTTCTACTCCTACTCCTGGCACCAGCATAGATGCTGTGCTGAATGCAAACCATTTGAAATTGTAATGTTCTAAGTATTTACCCAGGCCATACTCTACTATCGACACCAGCACCAGTGACACACTTTGTGTATGTATAGCCACATGCAGTATGTTCTAAAATAATTTACCAGCCCCTCTCTCTCTCCTGTAGGAGAAGTGGTTCTGGCGAATGCATGATGGAAAGCCTCAGCAGGGTTACCCCATGCCCATCGGACACTTCTGGAAGGGTCTGCCTCCCTCCATCAATGCTGCCTATGAGCGTGCTGATGGCAAATTTGTGTTCTTTAAAGGTAAAAGCTTCAGTGCTGTTACTCCTTTATTCATTTCAGTAGTTCATGTTTGTGTTGATGTGTAGAGTTGCCAGTTTATTAGGTACATCACCTATTTTCTCACCTGCCATATACCATATTATGAAGTCATGTAAACATTTGGATGCTCCTGGTCAAATTGCAGGCTTGGTTTGTTGGTGAAACTAAGTACATATCCTTTACAGAGAACACACTGCACATTTTCATGCACAATTACTGTTTATTGGCTGAATTTAACATACTGGTAATGAAAATAAATTTATTTTTTCTAATTTTCCAACTCAGGAAATAAATAGGAAATTGTGCAGTAACATTTTCAGAAACAAAAGCTACATTTACATTTGTTCCCTGTAGAGAATATGTTAATTGCATTTCTCTCAGAAAATCAACAAAACATATCATTTGCACCAGGGTGTTTAAACTTTTGCAGTTACTGACTGTAGCTCAACTGTTACTGCACAGTCACCCTCAGTCCATTTATCAATGGAAAGAGTCCAGCATAGGACTACTACTGACCAAATATTACTGGGTGGTGGACCATTCTAAACACAGCGGTGACTCTGACAAGTAGCAACATATGAGGTTCAGGAGCATTGTGTCACGGCAGGGTTGAGAGTGGTCCACTAACCAGAAATATCCAGCCAACAATGGTCTTGTAGTCAGAGACTGGCTGCTGTGAAGAGATAGACAATAACTAAGTTGTGCATGGAAAAAGACGAGTCTGTACATCTATAACATATATCTATAACATGACAGCTGTTTCTAATAAAGTGCACACCTGTTATCTCTCTCTCTCTCTCTCTCTCTCTCTCTCTCTCTCTCTCTCACTTTTTGTAGGTGATAAGTACTGGGTGTTCAGCGAGGCCACTATGGATCAAGGATATCCTAAAACTTTTAAGGAGCTGGGCACAGGCCTTCCTAAAGACAGGCTGGACGCTGCCCTCTACTATACTCCCACAGGAAATACTTACTTTTTCAGAGGCAACAAGTGAGTGATCTGTTCTTCCTACACACTGAGGAAGTGGCATTGTGTTTGGTGACAAAGGAAGCCACAAAGCACTAATTCTAGCATGATTATGACTGTGTTGTCTATGACGCTCCGTGTCACTTTGGCATGATGTTGCTTCCTCTTCCACTTTTGTCTGATTTGGTTATTCCCTCTTTTCTTTCTCCCAAAATCCCCCCTGTATTTTATTTCTTTTCTCTGGTTCTGCTTGCAGATATTACCGCTTCAATGAGAACACGCGCTCTGTGGACTCAGATTACCCCAAACCCATCAGTGTGTGGCAAGGAGTGCCTGAGAATGTGAAAGGAGCCATTATGAGTGATGATGGAGGTAAAAGAGAAGGAACATCCACATTTTAGCCTTTGAGGGGTATAGGAAGGATATGAGTAGGGGTTGTGGTGTTTTGGTTTGGGTGGGAGGTTCTGAATCAGCAGAGTACTTCCTGTCTATGTGCGTGTGTGTGAGTGTGGTCATTAGATGCTTGTGAGGGCCAGATGTTCCCAGGATGAGGAAAGACATGTTGATATTGTGGGAGCATTTGTTTTTTTGTACAAAGCTGTGTCTTTTATTTGAAAAAGTAAATGGATAAAATTTAGAGATGGCATGACACAACTTTTTCTTTTTTCCAATACCAATACTGATGTTGAAACCTTAAATGTGTTGGCCAATACTTAGCCAATATTTTTTCTTTAAAAACTTACGTGATTTTAAATGAGCTATTTTAATTAATACAAGCATCTAAAACTATGCTCTCATGTTACTTAAACTGCTTAACCCTTTAAAGCCGACCTCCAAACATGCCTATTTCTGCACTGTAATCTGCTCTTCTCCATCAGTTTATATAGTGATAAAAACAAGGTAGCACCCAAAGTACTGATTCTACATGCTGATAAGTTTCACTTTAGTGGACATGCTCACAGTTTAACCCCTGTGGCAGCAGCTTTAATTAAATTAGATGAGCCAAATTCTCAGAACGGCTCTCCAGCGAGACGCTCAGTATGATAGAGTTAAACACTCTACTACCCACAGGACGAAATACTCAGCTAACAGCATCACATCACACACTGTGAATGTGTGTTATTTCATGATAGATCTCATCCAGCTTTTTCTGCAGATACTGACCCGATACCGATACATGTTTTCAGATCAGTACCATCTCTACTAAAGAATTAGAAGTAACTGAAAGTGAAAGATTTAAGATTTAACCCTTAAGGTTAGGGTTAGCTACAGTAATACAGAAGTAAATGGACAAATACCCTACAAAGGCAGGAATATTAATCTGGGTGTGTGTTTGTTATGAAATTCAGCTAAAATATCAGTTCTGTTGATTAAGGTTGCAGAATTTAGAAAATTAATTTGACCAATACCCATCTTTAGTTATTAATCATTAACTGACAAGCCCAAAATCAAGGATGCGCCCATCAAAATGTTCATTTAAACAGTCAAATGCAAATGCCCATGTTGCATTTTGTTGGATTTGAAATTTCTCTACAAATTTTAGAGCACAATTTCTATTTATTTGCTGAGTTTGACATATTGTAAAAAAAAATAATAAAGCATATAAAATATGTCATAACTTTTGCTCCAGCCACATTTTATGTTGTATTTATTTATTTTTTACAGCATGTTATCTTCAGCAAGTAAACAGTAACTGTGCATTAAAAAGTGTGTTCTCTGTAGAGGATGTGTGTATCTCAAAAAGTAGTCTGGAACACCACTGTGCACTTTTCTTATTGCCCCATTAGCTGCAGAACAGTTGCCTATTGCTTCCTCATGCGTACAATTTATAAACATTCCTCAAATTGAATGATAAAGTCACCCATTCAAAGTGTTGTTTATTGCACATGAAATTAAATGAACAATTTTAACTGATAGCATTGGTCGAACACTTGTTTATTTGTTGGTTAACAGTTATTGGTTTAATTGGTTAATCATTTGCATCCTTACTGTTGATAATTACTCGAGTGTTGGATGTACTGACAGTGTCTAATCTACCATGTATCTCTGTCTCCTTGTTTCTTCCACTTTATAGTCTACACCTACTTCTACAAAGCCAACAAATACTGGAAGTTCAACAACCAGCAGACGAAGGTGGAGGCAGGCTACCCCAAATCGGTCCTGACTGCCTGGATGGGCTGTGAAGGGGAGGAGCCTAAAAAGAGGGCCAGGACGGATGAGGAAGTGCTCATCATTGAGATGGACGAGACATCAGGGGGCTTTGCTGGAGGGGCGGCAGCCATAGTAGTCCCCGCTCTTCCTGTTGGCTTGTGTGCTCATCACTCTGGGAGCGCTGCTGTTCTTCCGTCGCTACGGCACCCCACGACGCCTTCTGTACTGCCAACGCTCCCTACTGGACAAAGTTTAGAGACGGAAGGATGGGAAGAGGAAAGACAAAAACTGCAATAAATTGTATTTTGGCAAAGGAAAGCATCTTAAATTTAGTCAATACATGTGATATATCTCATTAAGAGGTTGTTGTCAGACTAACAAAAGATTATTTGACTTATTTCTAGATGTTTTAGATTTACTTGAAAAGTTGAAGAAATTCTTATTCCAGGACATAATGCTGTCTGTGGAATAAGATATTACTTATAATAAGAGAAATCTGCAGATGTAGGTTGAATAATCTTATAATATTCTTATAACAATATCACAATGAGAAATATTACATATATTGACTACATTTTAGAAGCTTTTACCTGCCTAGGTACCATTTTTTGCAGTGAAGGGTTGTAGGAGGACTGAAGGTGGGTGGAGAGTAAAGACAATAGATGGAGACGATGAGGACTTGAGTTTGAGATTGTTTACAGAACCACAGAGATGACAAAGAAAAGAGGGAAGGAATGAATAAAGCAGTTGAAAAAGGGAACGATGCATATTGTCTTAGTAGTTACTTGTACAGCTCTGCCAATATGAATAGACCCAAGAAGGAGAGAGAGAACCAGAGGAGAAGAGGGAGCGTCCCATTGCCTTACTTTTATTCCCTCTTTTACATTGAATGAAAATAAAGCACTTTTCTTATTTGATCATCTCTCCCTCTTCCTCTCTCTCTCTCTCTCTCTCTCCCAAATCAAACGACTCCAGCCAATGGGCTGTATGATTGATGTTTTCGTTGTTTCGCTTCTCCTAAATATTCATCTCATCTTTGGTTTTACCTCTTAAATTCAGATATGCTCCACAATTTCCCTCTTAATAAATATACCCTTCTTGCAACAGTGCCTTTCACCTCTAGGCTGTCATGAGTGCTTACATTCGGGGACTACGATTTGTCATCGGGGGCCAAAATTTGTCATATTGTCCAGCACCCCTGTTTTCTATAGATGTGCATGCATGTGGACTATAAATGTTGACCCCGATAAATGTATAGAGTTTATTTAGTGTCAAAAGTAATTATATGTGAATACATTGCTGAAATTGTTATTTTATAAACTGCAAATTCACAAAACAATTTTGCAAATATGTCAAATGGTTAGCACTGTCACCTCACAGCAAGAAGGGCCTGGGTTCGATTCCCCGGCCGGGCAACCAGGGTCCTCTCTTGTCTGGTTTGCATGTTCTCCCCGTGTCAGTGTGGGTTTCCTCCCACAGTCCAAAGACATGCAGTCAGGCAAATTGGAGATGCCAAATTGCCCCTGGGTGTGAATGTGTGTCTGTGAATATATATGTCTGTCTGTCTGCCTGTGATGGACTGACGACCTGTCCAGGGTGTTTCCTGCCTTTGATAATGTGTGTGTGTGTGTGTGTAACTTGACTGTAACACAAGCCGCATATATACGCTTATCATGTGACATTTACAAATCCTTATCAGCACGTTCAGTTTGTATTTTCTGACTCAATTCAAGGCTTTATAGATTACCACTTTAAGTGCATTGTTTTGAGTTTGTAACTGCAACTTTGGTCCAGCCCACTGAAGCCTGCTTGATTTCACCCTCACAACTTGAGATGTTTCTGTTAAAATCCTCAAGTACTCGTGTGCTGGTGATTCATAAAAGTATGTTCTTTAAAAAAGCTGTCAAAAAGGGTTCTTCATGGTGATGCCATAGAAGAACCACTTTTTGTTCTCTAACCATATTGTTGAGTTCATATATAATTCCTTTTGACAGAAATTAAACTCCATATTAAATTGTGTCTTAGTTAAAAAAAACGCATATCTCAAAAGTAGGAGCTGCTGTATGCGATAGATCTAAGGCGAATGGTCAGTGGTCAGGGAGTGAGGCTCAGCTCTGGAGGGGAGGCCCATTTACGTTTACTCCAACAGAGCAGAGCTGGCTTGCAGGTACAACTCCAGATATTAATGTTATAAAGTGTTTGTTACCATGTATTATTGTTATTAATGTTATTAATGATTAATATTGTTGTTATTATAACTATGGTTATTGTTATTATTGTTTTCCACATGTAGTCTTGTGCATTTTTTAAGTGTTCTCATTTCAAGTCCTGCTGGACAGAGGCAGAATATGACAGGTATTAAAATGACTTCCAGTTTTTTTTATTGTTGTTGTTTTGTTTTTGTTGGTTGTTTTAATGTCTAAAATGAAAATTTCAGGTGATTCCAGATTCACAAAGTATTAGTGTGAACAATTCAAAAACTCAAAAAATGTAGGAAATATTATGAAAAGATCATAAAAATAGATAAATCTCATTGAGCTTGTTGTATTCGGATGATTCTTTGTGGGAATCCTTGATCTTTTGGGTGGAGTGAACAGTTTTTGAATGGAATAAACCTGATTCTGGAAAAATAAAATGGTGCTATGGATTTTCTTGAATGCACACACATCCACATGAAAATGTAATCAATGTAGTCTTTAACAATGATAATAATAATGATATTTATAATGATAATGATATATTGTAAATGTAAGGGAATGTGATTTATTGCTTGTTTTGTATTTCGGGAATGAACAATGAAATAAAAGTATTTTGTGGAACGTTATTTCTTCTTTCTTCCTGTATTTTGTTCAGTTCTTACTGCTCTGGGTGTTTCCCCTATTCTTGGTTTTAAAGCGTAAGCAGGAATGCTTATTATGTTAATATAGCTGTGTGCGTGTGTGTGTTTGCTGCTGTTTCACATGATCCAGTGCAGAACAGAATGAAGCGAAACAGTCTGTAGGCTGTAGGTGAAACAGTCTGTAGGCTGTAGGTGAAACAGTCTGTAGGCTTTAGGCAGGGAGGCTGAATGCTTGATGGATCACGTGAGGGTGTGTATGTGCTTGTTTTCAGGCTTTGCAGAGCGAGACGTGTGGCTACACTTCACTGTCCTTAAAAAAACTCAGGGAATGTACTGAAAGTTCTCCGGCCCCCAAGACTCCCTAAACCGCTTTTTCAAACTGCTCTGCCATTTCCTTTTTGGCCACTCTTTCTTTTTCCCCCTCCTCTCTCTCTTGCGCTCTCTTTTTCTTTCTTTTTCTCTCTCCTATTTCTCCTCTTGCTGCAAAATTGTTCTCTTTTATTAGGCTCTTAACTGAAACCATTCCTTCCTTCACCACAAATATCTATCTGTTTTTCCTCTCTTTATCCTTCCTGCTGCCCTCCCTAAAGGATCCCCACCCTCTCTCTTTCTCTCTACCCTTCCTCTTACTCTTTTTCTCTCTTTCTATCTTCCTCTATCTCTTGCTCTCTCACTCTTTTTCTGTTGTTCTCTCTCCTCTCTTGCTCTCTCTCATTTTCCTCTTTTTCTCTCCCCTTCTCTCTCTCTCTGGCTCCTTGTCTCTCCCCCATTCCCCTCCATCTGTTTATTTACTCTATTCTGTGCTCTCTCTCTCTCTTCCTCTTGCTCCCTTCTTTCACTCTTTTTTATCGTTCTCTTTCCTCACTTGCTTTCTCTCTTTCCTCTCTCTTTCTTTCCCCTTCTCTCTCTTCCTCTTCTCTCCTGCTCACGGTCCCCCATTTCCCCCTCTGTCTGTTCATTTACTCTATTCTATGCTCTCTCACCCTCTCTCTCTCTCTCTCAACAGGTTTGAACTCTTTTCCTCTATGCCCATAGTTAACGGCATCGTATTCCCACAGTGAATTACTGACACAGGTTTTTGAATGTTTATATAACCACTTAACCCAAGTTACATATTTGATTTTTCCACATTTGCAATTCCTCTTGGAGGATGAGTGTAAAGAGTAGAAGAGAATAGAGGATAGAGGCCTGCAATGTCTCAGTAATAACAATATGTGCCTTGTGTATTACATACATCTGCAAGTACCTATATGTGTGAAAATATATCATGGATGTATTATGTATGTAAGTACTTATATGTAATAAGAATTTAAGTCTAACCCTAATCTTAAACCTCGGTGACTAATAAGAAAAGACTTCAGGCTTTCAGCTTTCAGAAATGAACAAACACCACACACACATATGCATTCCTACAGCTGGTGAGCAGAGTGCGGCCTAGACAGCTGCTTGCAATTGAGATTAAGTGCATGTTTGAGTAATCTACGTTATAATGTATCTCATCACACACTTCTAAAGACTCTCAAAAAGTTTCAAAGAGTGTGTGTGTGTGTGTGTGTGTGTGTGTGTGTGTGTGTGTGTGTGTGTGTGTGTGTTAAAGAGAAGGCTGGTCTGCAAAAAATTATATCTTGGCAAAAAAAATGTATATGTATTTAACATATCTAACATTCATTATTATAAGACTGATGTAAGTATAAACTAAGCTTATTCAACTTATTTCTAGAAATAATATTTAAAACAAGCACCATTACACTATCCAAAGGTATCCAGACACCCATTTTAATCCTAAAAATATTTAATGTCATTTAATTTACCAAGACCTCAGTTGCTGTAATGATTTAACACCATTAAAGTGTCAAAACTTACAGTTCATATGTCAGTCCATCCACACAGTCCATACATGGAAACTAACATGAAAGGGTCTGTTTTTTTATGGTATTAGTGGTCATTAGAAAATACATTAACATAATATGTCCTCCTATTCAGTCTATAGCAATTTAGCCCCTCCCATTTATACTGAAGTTCTAAGAAGTTTCAGCCCATGTTGCTTTTTGAATGTGGCACAACACAGGGAAGCCAATCAGAACAGAAATAATTTACATATTGCTGCCGTCGGAACAAAACCTTGTATCTCCATTTTTGTCGTTTTTCAGTTTTTGATATAATTTAAAAATGCCTGTTGCCCTTTACATTGTATGTAAATTTTCACGATGAATGGACCAAAAGAAATGACCTGAAAATTACTTGGAAAAAAAGTCTGATTTCATAAACTTACATTAAAAGTAACAAAGGTAAAAGTTAAAGTAAAGAATTTTTCCTTCTCCTGTAAAGTTGTCATTATGGAGATGCAGGGTTTTGTTCCAACAGTAGTGATATATCAGTCTTAAAGGTAAAAAAAACAGCCAGTATAATTCTACATATAAAAAAGGGGTTAAAAAATGGCCAAAGAAATGAATTACACTTTTTTGCTACATGCAACCACACAAATGTCATTAGGGGACCTCAGGGGAAATAAATACAAGAAAAATGTAAGATATGGACCC